CTACAACCTTCCCCCCAGAATGATTTCATTGACTTCCTTAAATAATTTGCATATATCTGTTAGTGTACATTTGCTTCTCTAATGAGAATATATAATCCCCTGAAAGCAAGTGATATATATTTTATACATATTTGAATTATGCCCTAACTTAGTGCCTAGTATGCTTTAATTTTTTGCAGCGTTCAATATATTTGTTATATACACATAAATAAAGATAAGATATAATCCTTATTCTCAAGGAATTTAAATTTAATTTGCAATAGGAGGGAAAAGATAAGTAATAAGGAGAAAGTAGATGAGCCTACCTAGAAACATGTGAATGTGTATATGTATGTGCATATATAAGATACCAGAGGGAGCTAATGTTCAATATGCATCAGGTATATTTCTACTGTAGAAGAGCAGCTGTTATTTTAATTTATTTTCTAAATTTAGATCTAGATATATTGGGTTTTCGCACAGTAAGGTATTCTTGTGGCCTCTGAGATATGAAATGTAAGAAAAAGGCTTTGGGGTCACTTACAGCAAGAATTCGTAGGAGATTCTTTATACCAATACCCTTTTAGGAAGTTTTAGATAATTTCAGACGTTTCAACCTGACTCAGTCCCTTTTATTTACCATTCACAGTATAGTGTAACGTTTCTTGATCACTGAACATATATTCTTCGATTTTCCAATGAAAGACCCTTTGCAATTAGAAGAAGAAAGGTTCCTTTGATGAACTTAATTTTTGTATTTCCTGAGTTGATGCTGATATTTTTACATATGAAATATTCCACTAAAATAAGCTTTTCTTTGCTAATAATTGCAGATGGGTGAGGAAAACTTTCAGTACAACTTATTATTCTGAGCACTCTGTACTTTCATGAATGTTAGTTAGACTTTATTTTATAAACCATTTAATACAAACCATCATTTAACAGCAAGCTCTTTTATTTTTTTCCCCCATAGGTCCATAGCACTAGGAGCATATACTAGGATCTAGATGCAAAACACTTACAGACAGAAGGTGTCCTGGCCAGGTTGCTAAGCTAAAATTAGTACAGCCATCTTTCATTTTGGTTTTTCATTTAATAAACCTGTTTCCTTGCATACTCATTTTATTTGAACTTTTTGAGTTAGGTTACGTAAAAAGACACCATTTAAGCAGCAATAGCCCAAATGATATCCTATAATCACTGATTACATGTTCCCTATTCACTTAGCTGAAACACCAGAAAGTTACCAAAAAAAAAAATCCACACACACACAAAAAATTTGTACTGTTAAACCTTCTGAACCAATAAAAATGTTCTGAGGGTACCACAACACAAAAAGTTTTTTCTCCCCTCTCTTTTAAGATTAAAGTATTTTCTCTTATTCTGAAATTGTCCATAATTTTTGGAAGCACCTTTGAGAGCAAGGAGGAAATCTCCCACTTTAGCAGAAAAGCAAGACTCATGATGAGATTGTCAAAGGTGGCTGATCTGCCCGCCTCAGTCTCCCAAAGTGCTGGGATTATAGGCATGAGCCACTGCGCCCAGCCTTAGCAAAGTTATTTCATGATCAAACTTGTTATGTTTGAATAAGAGATCTGGATAGTTTATCTGTTTCTATGTTTTGTATTTCATTCCACTTCTTTTTCTTTCTCCCCCACGACATTTTTTTTGAGATAAGGTCTCATTCTATTGCCCAGGCTGGAGTGCAATAGAATCTGGTGTGATCATAGCTCACTGCAGCCTTGAACTCCTGGGCTCAAGGGATCCTCCTGCCTCAGCCTCCTGAGTAGCTAGGACTACAGGATGGATGTATTTATTTTCTTTTCCCTTAAGTTTCCTGGGAAGGCTTTCGAATGGCAGAGAGGCCAATGGTAGAAGCAGCATCACAGAAGGCACCACAGTCCTACCCATGCAGGCAGACATCTGGAACGTAAGGAAAGGAGGCTGGGGAAAAGCTCAGGATCTAGTTTTCTCTAATGTTCCTAGGACTGAGTAAATACAGTAATCTAGTGATGTTCAGAGAAACAATACATTTCTCCTGATAGTACGGAGATAGCTAGGACATGCAGTTAAATAGGGACTGGCAGACACCCGCAGCTTTTCATTCAAAGGCTCAGCATATCCAGTTACTAAATGAACCCTGACAGGCCATGCATTCCCAGCGAGTAGGGCAGTATCCTGAGTCATAACTCTGCCTAGCACTGTGGCTTTCTCTCCTCTCTTCTTAAAAGAGAGTATCTTGTAGATCTTGCTCCTCAACTTGTGATAGTAAAGGCTGAATCTCAAAATACCAAAGTTCAAGTGCTGTTGAGAAGTAATAGTGTAAGAGGAGATTGCAAGGGGTGGGGCTGGGTAAATGAGTGAGGCACATATACAAGGAATAGGTTTAGATTTAGAGCAACTGCAGCCTTAATGCAGTTGGAGCTCCTCTCCTTAATTTCTTAGTTTTAGGTATGTTTCACATTAAGCTGGAGGCCCAGTGCTTATTGATGCTAATTTAACATCAGTATCTGACCCACCCTTTTAGTAACTCAGACCTCTTTCCCGTAATTTTGAGCTTCATTTTACAGGCAAAGATTGGCCTGTACAACAAACCAATGGAGTCACAAAAAAAGGTTTGTTCTTTCTCAGTTTATCAGATAGTTTACCATCCATTTTGGCCCCACAATTGGAGTGGACTGTTCACATCTTAAAACACAGTGGATTTTCCAGGTAGCCTGTATCTTAGGAACTTCCTTCTACTCATCACAGTTTTGTCAAAAATACATCTTTATAAATGCTCAAAATGCAAAAGAGAGAGAGAAAAAAAAAAACCAGCTGTAGTCTTTCAATGTGTTACGCAGTCCGAAGTGACCTTATCTCAGGCTATTTGAGGCACAAAGCAAGATTTTTATATTTCAGCTTAAATCATGATTAAAACAACTGTTTTTTTTTTTTTTTAAAATAATAGTGTTATAGTAATATCTCAAAGAACTGAGTATCACCTAATTCTTCGTAGCAATAGTTACAGTATCAGGCTGCCAAGTTTTAGTTTGAGATAGCCTTTGAGGGAGAGCAGGACAGAGGAATTCCTAATGTTTTTTCTTTTAATATTTTGTGGAAACATATTCCAGAGAAACAATCTAGAATTTCAGAATAAAAACTATGTATTTTTCAAAACTCCTGGGTAGAGTTCACCAAATTAAAAACACAGACACTTAATTGAGACTTCTGCTGCCAGAACACGTTAGTGAAAAGTTGTAAAGTGAGAATTTAATAGGATAAGTGCCAGTTCCTTGCTAAACCCAAACTTTTAACACCTTAAAAGATGTAATATGTTGAAAATGACTTCATATTTAACCTCGTCAAAAAGAAAGAAATCCAAATGTTCATGTGGGCTTGGATATCTCTCAATGTCAAGGCTTGGGCAAGAGGCCACCCAGAGACAGGGCACCATATCCACAGCCCATGTTCTTCCCCTAGTTTCAGTCCAACACATGACTTAGCAATTTACTGTATCCACGTTATATTCCGGTCCAGCTGCCTTAACATAGGCTCTCCGTCTTACAGAGGGGCAGCTGCGAATGCTGGGAAATTACCCGTGTCATGAGAATGAACTAGCATGATTCTTTTTTTTTTTTCTTTTTTGAGATGGAGTCTCGCTCTGTCACCAGGCTGGAGTGCCGTGGCACGATCTCAGCTCACTGCAAGCTCCGCCTCCCGGGTTCAAGCGATTCCCCTGCCTCAGCTTCCCCAGTAGCTGGGACTACAGGTGCCCGCCATCACACCCAGCTAATTTTTGTACTTTTAGTAAAGATGGGGTTTCACCACGTTGCCCAGGATAGTCTCGATCTCTTGACCTTGTGATCCACCCGCCTCGGCCTCCCAAAGTGCTGGGATTACAGGCATGAGCCACTGCGCCCAGCCACACAGTTCTTATTGTAATCGCTAAGCCTCTTCATTATCTTCATATTCCTTCCCTGTCACTGGCTATTGCGCTACTTCAGGGTACAACTAGATGAATGGGCCTTTCCCTTCCTCCCTAGGGCAGAGGTGCAAGGCTATTTTTAGAATACCGCTTATATCATTAGTTCAGTTCCTTTCTCTTATGATCTTCCGGCAGGGAGAGCCTCAGAGAACAGGCCTTCCATCCCTATTCTAAAATTGGACAAGACGGGTTTGGAATTCAGATTCTTTTCAGAGATGGTGCCTGTAACATACATGACACAAAACCTCCAGCGGGGGGCTGAGCCAGCACCTCACAATCAAATACATGAATATTTCACAATAAATGTTATAAATAATACTGTAAATAGCCTCAAATAAGTATATGGCAAACTTTGCCAAAAAATGAACTCTAGTGTTAAATTTGCAAAAGAACGTTCAGTTTTCCTGGCATTTAGGATTTTAAAATTGAGGACAAGAGATTTTAGATCTGTATTATTAGGTTTTCAAAAAGTTAAGACAAATTAACCTATTTGTTCTTAGAGAAAAAATAGATGGGGACCTATTTACAAATAGCCTAAAGGGGTCTTTCACAGTAATCTTTTTGACATAGAATTTGACTATATTGAACAGGATTTGATATAAGTGGGTTGTCCTAATCCCTGGCATATTCTATTCTGCAGAGCCAGTCTGTGACTGTGCTATTGTCGTGGAATCTGAGCTGCCTAGTCATGCTTCAGAGCAAGGGACCAGAAATGGGCAGCCCTAACCTCTCTGGGACGCTCAGGAACATTCCCAGACTAGAATAAAAACCTCAACAAGGCAAGAGAGGGAGCCAACTGGCATGCATGTGCTATGACTCCATAATAACGTAATTACACAGTTTGATTTTTTAAGCATGTAAAACCAAAAACTTTATCTTCTTAATATAGGGGAATTTTTTTTTTTAAAAGCCCAAACCTTTGAAGTTTTAAAGGTGGGATTGGGAAGATTATATTCTAGGTTGTCATGCTAGGGGCCACATACAAGGGAAGGGGTACGTTTTCCCTGAGATCAGGGGTTGTCACCATTGAAGACATATAGAGATCAAGGCTTACTTGGCTTCCAGGGCCAGTGCAATGATGCCTGCAGCCATGGGGGCTGAGGCCGACGTCCCAGTGTGGTTGTCCGTGCAACGCTGCCTCAGATCTGTAGTGATCTGGAAAACAAAGTGAAAAGTTTAGATCTCTGAGGCCAATGTGAGTTATCTGCAAGTAGAAAGAAATATACTCACAAAAATAGAATGGGGGTATATGTTAAATACTTGTTTTAAATTCCTTGTTCCTACACGCCTGTAAATCATATCACTTCCAGAGAATTGCCTGCGTAGATCAACTCTGAAAAGGGAAGGGTTTGGAAACTGAACTCCATTTCTGTTAAAACCAGGGTGAAAACCAGGATGAGCCTATGGATGAAAATATAAAGACTGTGCAAATACCTCTTTAAATTCTGCTCTGTAAGCATCTTGCTTGCTTCTCCCTAGTGCCAGTTCTGGTTAAAACTGAAGTTCTTTCCTTGCCCCAACATTTTAAAATAATCAAACACATTGTATCAAATCCAGACACTGAGCAGGCATTGGCAACATACAGAATAAAAGTACACAGTCCCTGCAGCCCAGAACTGTTACCTTGGGGAACCACAGATTTCAAGCCAAAAGTATGCTCTGCCATAGAAAGAACCTTTGGTTGTGGACCTGTTTCTAGAATCAATAGAAACGTTGCATGGATGAACCAAGACTTCCTCAAAGACATAACATGGATACTAAAAATAAGGCTGAAGCCAGTGTACTTGATATGCAATTACAGCACTAAGTGTAAGCTTGTATATTAGAGAAAATTAGTTATTTCTCCATTTTATTTTTTAATCAAAATGTGAGAACTAAGTCATTTTTATCCTCTTGGCTTAAATCCAGTTCACTTCAGCTGTGACGGAATAATATTATCATCCAGCAAAGGCAATGTTTCTCAACCTTTGTTTCATTATTTTCTCACTATGGAAAAAAATACATTAAATTTAAATTCTACTTAAATACTATGGAATAAGATTCTAGAAACCACTGTAATAGCTCTAAGATTTTAAAAATCCTCTCTCTTGGACAAGAATCCATTTTTTGACCTCTTGGGGACATTATCACCTCTGGGGGAGTATAGAGGGCTGTGAGAGGAGTTAGTGGTCTCATTGAAGTTACTGGAAGACTATTAGTATCTGTCTTTGGCATCAAGGCAAGTATATTACCATATATTACAGATAAAGGTCAGCAGAAAGGTGAAGGGGGATCCAGGCAGCTGAAAACAAAGCCCTCTCCTTCAAAGTGCTTCTTTCAAGAGGAGTGTGAAAATCAGTTAAATTTGGTTTGGAAAGAAATTTGATCTTCACAAGAACAAAGTGCTTTATAGCTCCTTAGAGATAGAGTCTCACTTAGAAGTTTATTCTAGGTCACACGAAGATGTCTGAGTAGACTCTTTTATGACCTCTCATGGATCTAGATAGGCATTCTGGCTGATTTAGTTTCACATGAGACCGTAAGTTCTTAATATCCTTTCTTCGTTCCTTTTGACAATGCTAATGTTATCAGATTACCTGTACTAGATGGATGTGGGTACTGATATAAAAGGAGTGAAAGAACGAACAAAGATCTATAGAATTCCATAGATATGGTGGTGGGGAAGGAGTCAAACCTTTCACTGTGCGTTCCTGAATGAATGAATGGTGTGCAAAACCCTGAAGCCATCTACTGAACCTCGACATCTGATGCTTGCAGGATGTTTGGGTAAACAGGGCCCTACCCACTTCTATGTTAAGAAATCGGGTTTTTCATTGTTGAGTTTAAAAGGTATTCTTTTACTGTGTTAAAAAGCATATAACATAAATCTACCCTCTGAACAATTTTTATGTGTACAGTACAATGTTGTTAACCATATGTACAAGCTTGTACAATATCACTAGGTTTTTTCATCTTGCAGAAGTCAAACTCTGTACCCACTGAACAATTTCCTATTCTCCCTCCCCTTACCTCCTGGCAACCACCATTCTTGTTTCTACTGCTATGTGTTTGATTCCTCTACATACCTCATGTAAGTGGAATCATCCAGTATTAGTCTTTTCATAATAGGATTATCTCATGTAGCATAATGTCCTGAAGGTTTATCAATATTGTACCATATGACAGGATTTCCTTACTTTATAAGGCTGAATATATTCCATGATGCCACGTTTTCTTTATCCATTCATCTGTTGATGGACACATGGGTGGCGTCTACCTCTCAGCTACTGTGAAGAAGGCTGAAAACGCACATGGGGGAGCAGTAATCTCTCTGAGACCCTGTTTTGAGTTCCTTCAAATCGTTAATTCCAGAAGAGGAATTGCTGGATTGTGAAAAGGAATTGCTGCCTCATTTGAAATTATGGGTGAATTTGCAGCCTGATTTTCCAAAGCCCTGGTCCGTAAGTCAATGCATGAACACCCCAGAAGTAGCCTGTTTCCAGGTGTCCGGATCTGCTGTTGTTGAGACGGCCTTGCCTGCATTCTTCCTATTTTACCTCACCCCATGGTCACATTCCTTTGTTCAAGTTTTACTTTTTTTTTCAATGATTTGTGCCTGGATTCAAGACTTTTCATGATATTTCCCCGCTTGGCTCTCCTTGCTTATTCTTCAGCTGCACTAGACACTTTCAATGCACAGAAACAAATCCAGAATAAACACTCCAAGTGTGTGCAGCATTTGAGTCTAATAAATAACCACCTTCAGCCAACCTCAAATGTGAACAATCAAAATTTTATGATCTTGCATTTGCAATAGGAATATGCTTCGTCTGTATAGTGACCAGGTATCTATGCATACAACATATACTTTAATATAAAGTCACTTAGTACATTTATATATAAACACAAATGAAGTGTTAAATGCTATTAATGCAGGCAAGTCTGTGTAATTCCAAATCCTCATTGTGTTATAATTTTTTTCAACCACTTGAAATGAAACTTGAGACTGGTGGCTAGGGCTGGATGGGGTGGAGGAGAAAGGTGATGGAAAGGAGTAGTTAAAAGGAATGGGGAAAAAAGAAACAAAAACATCCCCCGCTCCCTTCTCATCCTGCTTGAAATGGAAGTTCCAGCTGGGTCATTTCATGAGGACGTTACTATCAGAGGGAGCAATATTTAGGTGTACATTGCTGGAAAGATCTAAGGCAGGGTTTTCGTCATTAAGAGAAGCCACAGTATTGGAGTTTTTGTGTCTATCTTCAGAAATAAAAGGCAAAGACCACCAAAGAGCAGGCAATCTTAAAGAAAAATGACACTATGAAAACTGGAACCACATGGAATATCCCCATTAATCACAACACATGTATATAGGACCTGACAGTGTAATTTAAAGGCAAGTTGCATTCAACAGTTGGCCCACGACATGGGGCAGGGAGCGCAAAGATTCTACATGCAAGCACTTTCACTTTAGATTCCATTTTAAAGAATGTCTCAGAATTTGGTCTCAATCCTGATGGCACATCTTGTATGCTCCAGATTCCCCCAAATTCACTACACAAATCAGAAACAGAATTTTTTCTCCAAAGAACTTCTCAGATTGCTCGAGAAAATATCATTTGTGCCCATCAGAGTGATGGAAACTGGAAAGGACACCAGGCCCTGAGCCAGATCAAAGCTGTCCTGATCAGCAAATTAGATTTTCAGTATCTCTCAGGATCAGTAGCAGATGGTTTTTTGGACTCCACTATGTTAGGGATGTCATCTTCCTTTGGTGAGAAGCGGTGGATATTGTTCAGGTTTAGACAGCCTCCACTAAGATGACCCATCACTTTTTCTCACCTTAAGCAATTATTTCCTAATATTTCACATTTCATTACTTGTTCTGATTGGACATTTGGTTTTAGCCTATTGATGTAATTCTCCAGGGAATCTCAGTTCAGACTGACTTTGGCCATAAGTGACAAGCTTTTACAGCAACCCCACAGTCAAGCGTTTCTCTCTCCTTGATATCTACTGATCTATTTTACTTTGAAGGTGCCATATTGTCTCATATCTGTTAAAAGAGCAACTGAACAGATATTTTTGAAACATGAAATGATTTTACTGTCTGTTAGGTTGAATTTGTTTCTGGTGTTGATTTTGATTTGAACTAGAATTGTGCCAAGAAAGCTGTTTCAGACACAGCTATGGGGGAGAAGGGCAGAAACTAAATCTTAAATGTGTCAGTGAGTAAAACAGAAGAAGCTGATTTATTAAGCACAGTAAAATAAAAAGGAACTGAAGACTAAAGAAAGCTTTTTGCGTCCACAGAAGTCACAAAGACTGGTGAAAAATTCAATCATGACTAACAAGTCCATACAAAATCCCACTCTCATGTTGCTAAAAGAATCTGTAAATGTGAAGTACAAATAGATTTTGCTCACAAATGGAGGGTTGCTATCACTAAAGAAGCAGCCCATGTTATGTCGCTTTTGTACCTCCGTAATGTTCAGCTCAGTTCCATGTACCAAGAGGCACAATATTTATTTGCTAAGTTGAATCCCTAAAATCAAGCCCCTTTATATTCATTTCATTCTATACTTCAACTCTTCCGTTCATTAGAAAACAGTCAAAGTCATTCTTTTTCCACCATCCAAACAAAACTCACAGAAGTTTGTAGTCAACCTACAAAAATTATGTGTGCATATATGTATATACAATCCAGGGTTTGAAGTACAGCTAATACTCTCACAGGTACTACAGGTTGTGTATCCCTTACCCAAAATACTTGGGACCAGAGGTGTTTTCAATTTCACATTTTTGCAGATTATGGAATATCTGCATTATACCAGTTCAACATCTCTAATCTGAAAACTTGAAATGCTCCAAAATCTCAAACTTTTGGGATGTCAAAATGATACTCAAAGGAAATGCTCATGGGAATACTACAGATTTTGAAATTTTGTATTAGGGATGCTTTATCTACCACCAGCTACCTCTAAAACTACCTCTAAAACTCCACTGCTTCCTCTAAAACTACCACAATGAGCAGCCTGCAATGAGTGAGACAGTGTACAAGAGGTCCTTAAGTGTGTCTGTATAAAAGATATATAAACCCACAGAAACACTGCAAGGAAGATATTTTATTACCGAAGGAAATAGAAGCTCAGAGGGGTTAAGTAACTTGCCCAAGGGCAAACAGCTACAAAAGGACTCGTAAGTGGTAAAGATATCAAATTCTTAAATAGTAGCAAAAGAAAAAAAAGCTGAGTTACAAAGTGTAGTCATTCATGAGAGCAAAGGCAACAACAATGGCAGAACTGGCCTTGTAGCCCAGCCCAAGTCAGCAAGTCCGTAAGGAGGTTCCTTTGGGCCATTAAAATGAGACCTTTTCAGAAGCAACGTTTCCTTTTCGCTTTTTAACTTTCTCAAGAGAATATGTATCAAACTTCCAAATAAACTAAACACATCTGGATTCGCTGGACTTTTACTCATGAAAAATAATGGCATTTTTTAAGTCAAAAGAAGAAATGGAGAGATGACAGAGAACAACCCAGTGCAAAGGGTGAATGTATTTGAAAAATGAATCGGGTGGTAGAAGAGGAAGGAGAGGAGACAGCAGAATATTTCTGCAAAAGAAAATGGAGAGTTGCTTAGAAGCATTAAAAGCAATAAGATAATTCCTCCACATGGAATTTGGTTTTCAGGCCAACTCTGAGATACCCTAGGCAGCAACTTTGTTTTGAACACAAATAAATAAAATGACATCAGGAGAGGGCTAAGCAGAACATATATTCTCCCAACTCTGGCTCAGAGAACCCCTCCCAGGAGGAATCTGAGAGACCCTATGTCCCAATCACTAAGATAAATTACTAGGGGGGAAAAAAGTCAAAGTCTGAACAAGTCCAAAAAGAAAGAGATAATTTAACGATGGGAGGGACTGGAGAGAAGGGGGAGCCTTATTCATAAAACAGAACTTGACAGAAACGTCAGGAGGAGGTGAGGGGTTATAGATGGGATCTTTTAGGCTTTTTGACACTAAAAACAGGTTACATGAACAGCTTTATCATGTAGCAGGGTTCCTGCTGGCAATTTTCTATGCTAAATATCCTGTCAAATAACGTTTAACTTTCACCAACCTACCAATAGAAGAAGTTTCTCTGAAAGAAACAGAGCAGCTCCCTGTCTTCTTGCAGCTATATAAACAACTTGTGAAGCCTCCATCCTTCCAAATGTTTGCTAGTCATTTATGCACGAATATTTATTGAGCTCAGACTCTGGAAAGGAACAAAACACGGTCTTCATCCTCAAGTAGTTTCCATTGTAGCATGAAAAACAGACAGTAAGTAAGAAAATATGTACCACCATGTGAAGTATCTATAAGTGCACTAGAAAAAAAAAAAAAATTGAACCGGGTAGAGTAGAGAGTGGTGGAGGGGTGTGCCCCTATTTTAGAAAAGGCGATGAAGAAAATCCTCTTTGAGGTGAAATTTGAGAGGAGACAAAAATGAAGTGATATTTGGTAGAGGAGTGTTCTAACAGAGGGCACTTTGCACATCAGAGAGCCGTGGTTTGAACATCATACAAAAGCCATAACCTTGGGAGCTCAGTGCTAACTCTGCTGCCATAGGAACTAGCAACTCAGCTTGAGTTTTTTGCAAGAGGTTCAATTGTCTGAGGGGGTATGAAAAAGGGTAAAGGAATGAAATTCAAAATGAGGAGACTAGTGAAAAACCATGGAAATGTATATATTCTAAATGCTTCTTCATGACTCTGAAAAGAACTCAAAATAGGTAAGAAAAGCACTATTCTTTCACATAGCCCCATACTGGATATCCCTAAGACGTATCAGGGTGGGATAGCATACTGATTACAAGATGAGTTTGGGGGTCCATCCTGACTTTGATTGGAATCCAAGCTCTACCATTTATTAGCTGTGGTTTTTGTTTGCTTGTTTAACTTTCCAAGCTTTAGTTTTCTTATCTGTAAAGTGGGGGCACCATGATCTTTCTGCATAGGGTTTCCCAAGAATACAATGAGATGTTGCATTCGACGTGCATAGCGCAGTGTCAGGCACAAATGAGAAGGGCAAAAAATGTGAGATTTTCAACACGTTAATATATAAATGTATCACATGTGAGACACGTAATACAATGTGAACAAATATGTTCCTAAAAACATTCTTTCACTATATGACTTTAAAATAACTAGTCATTTTAAATGACTTCTATTTAGCTTATGAAAGAGCTTCTTTCATTGTACTCTTTATACTTTGAACGCTTCCTTTGCTGTAATAAGATATAAGGCCATTGCTGATCCAAATCTACTAAAGCATGAATGCAATACCAAGGTCCACAATTGTGCTAGAAGTAATGACAGGAAACCAAGGGACAGGGACTTCCTTATGTTTTGAAACCCAGGGCAAGGCTTTCCTGTTTGCGTATCATGAAAAGTCATTTTGTCCAGAACAAGTACGATTTATTTAACAAAAATGCTTTCCCAGAAGCAGAGAGGAGATTTTTTCCCCTCTCTCCTCAGATCCTCAGCAACTGTCTTGGTACAAATCACCAAGGTGCTCTATGAATGAAGAATGACAACTGTGCTCTTCTGGGGAGGCTGCAGATGACAAAAGGATATGAATGTCTCAGGGAAGGGGGCCTAGTACAAAGACAGGCACTGCCATTCCTGTAGCACTCAATCACATATGCCACTAACAGGATGCGGGCATCACCGAGGGACCAAAGGCATCTGGGTTCAAAGCCTGGTGAAGGAAAGGTCCCAGGCGCAACACAGGATGATTTGTCATTCTGATATCTAGAAGGAAAAGGGGTCAGTCGGACCATAAAAGGCTGACGTTGCTGCCAACGCCACTCATGTTCAAACTGTTAACGTGTTCCTGATCAGGGTGTCTCTCTTTATGGGATGGGTGGAACAGATCACAGTGTTTTATAGACTGGAAAGATTGAGGTGCAACAAGCAACTCTCTTAGGAAAAATGCCCTAACCTCCCAGGATGCAGAAAGTTACAGGAGCGTAGGTGAAAACGCGGCTGAGCATGCATTGAGCTGCTCCTGTGGACCAGGAACCAGGTACCTGGTCAGTATTTTATTATCTTCCTGGAAATCTCTGAGGTCAGCGCTGGTATCATCTCCATTTTACAGACGAGGCAATCGAGACTCCGTGAGGGTTGCTTATCCACTGAGTGGTTTCTCTGAAGCTAGAGACTAATACAAACAGCTTCCAAATTTCCTCTCCAACTGGGGGTAATTTGGGAATTCAGGCGAAGTAAGGGAATCTAAGAACTAGCTAGAGAAAACTGACTAATATAATCTCACAAAAACGGAAGAAAGGCATTAAACAAAAAGGAAGAAACAAATTAAGTTAAATACATAGAGTGAGTCACAGAAGGCTTTGAAACCATAAGCAAAAGCTGGGGAAAAGTATATGACCTCACGAAAGGATATTAACATTTCGTCATGGCGTCCACTTTCCCTGGGAAGCTCTCTCCCTGCCCACAGAATGGATCAATTTGTCTATCCGTGGGAGAATCCGAAATGACACCCCTGCCATGGGAGTCACAGCAGCAACCACACAACCACAGCAAATAATGGCGAAGGCCCCAGGAGGTTAGGTTTAGAGAGTAAACCTCACAATAGTGATTCTGCAGTCCCTCTGTACACACTGCGTTCTCCCATCTGGACCGCGACAACCTTTCCTACATCTTTGATATTTTTGCCATGAGACTATATGCTTCTCTTACAGAAGGCATTGATAAAACTTAACAATACTCTCCCCACAGCAATCACCCCACGGAGAATAATAGGACTGAGTAAATGGGCATAATTACTTTGAAGCAATAGTGAGTTTGCCTTAAGATGATTTCAAACTCCAGAGGTAAAAAACGAGAACTCTTATTCCAGAGTTGTCATCAGGAATGCCAGGATGCAGGGTTGACGGATGTCACTCCATGCTAATGGACGTTGACCATGAGTTAGAAGACACAAGGTCTTCTTATTTAAAAGCAGAGGGATATTTCTAGATTATAACATTTCTCTAATGGAGGCAAAATTTCACTGGGGCATCCCCGTTCCAGTTAAGGAAGCCAGAAACTTCAAATGCAAAGCTCATCTCTGCATTTTCGCCTTTTATATTTTACTTGCTGCTTCGGAGTTATGCTTATTGATGAATGTTGGAGGTACTGACAGGTAGAATTGGGTGTATATATTTAAACCCAGACATTGTGGAGCAATTAGGGAAAGAGGGGGATATGTATATGGGGAGGCAATTTTTACCTAAATCCATCTACAAAATGTAACTAAAGAAGGTAGTAAAAAGTAACTGATAAATGAAACAGAAAAATCATAAAGTAACCAGGAATCAAGAGGAATAGAATGGATGTGGATTAAGACTTGCACAAAGGAGGTACAGTCCTATCCCTTATGGACTGCGGGAAAGGCAGAGGGAGCACCAGTAGAGTGACCCCAACCTGCGTAGATCTGTTAGAGCCAGAAGCAGGGTCTTGGCTAAGCGCTAAAAAGTGTCAGGTACAGCATCTTAGCTCTACCTTAAAAAGACAAATCCAGAGACAGTTTACAAAATCATGATCAGGAAAAAGGGCAAAGTGCAAAGGTGTGTGAAATTTATAATCAGCAGCACAGTGCTGGGCACCCCCGAAAAGTTAGAGCTTTTGTAAGCACTGAAGGGCCGGATACTATGCTAAGCACTTTTTACTGCCTTCCTCATTATTTTGTAATAACTCCATGAACTCTGTGCTACTAAATGTCCTCTTTGTATAAATAAGTATGCTGAGACAGACAGATTAATTTGTCCAAAATTACTCAACTAGCAAATAGCTCAAGAGTGAAAGAAACTCATGCAGGCTGGGCCTGTCACCTGAACTCTTAATCACACTGGCTGTTTGCCTAGAGTACAGGATATGTTGGTAAACGGGGGATCCCATGCAGCTTCTGTGCTTCTCCACCCAGCAAACTTTGTGCTGTCTATAAGAAATGCACTTTTTGGCCAGCTGTGGTGGCTTACACCTGTAATCCCAGCACTTTGGGAGGCCGAGGCAGGTGGATCACTTGAGTTCAGGAGTTTGAGACCAGCCTGGCCAACATCATGAAACCCTGTCTCTACTAAAATACAAAAATTAGCTGGGCATGGTGGTGGGCTCCTGTAGTCCCAGCTACCTGGGAGGCTGAGGCAGGAGAATGGCTTGGATCCGTGAGGCAGCAGTTGTAGTAAGCCGAGGTCACGCCACTGCTCTCCAGCCTGGGCAACAGACTTCGTCATCAACATCATAAAAACAAGAACAAACAAACAAAAAACTGCACCTTTTATAGAGGTTTAGTTCATGTTAAGTAAGTATAGTTTCAATGGAATTCTAAGTTTCCTTACACACTTTTGTTTTTCACACTGAATTGGCTGTACTTAGAAACCAAAGCACTAAAGCTAAAGTTAAAAGTCAGTGTGGAAATACAGTGCTAGGAGCCCAGGGCTGAGTCAGGCATAGATTCCAGTCTCTTCTCTGCCACTAACTCACAATGTGAATGTGAACCAATCATTTATCCTCAATGAAACTGAAGCTTAATCACGTCTAAGGCCGCATTAAATGTTGCAATGTGATGACTGCACAAGCATTTTCAATTAGCAATGTTTACGACTTCTGATGTTATCAACAAATCTAATTTTCTATTTCCATATATTACTTGTGTATATGTATTTATGGTTCTCCCTTTGTATTTCAAAGTGAACATTAAATAAACAGATCGTGATGGGCATGCACATGGCACGTACAATTTTCTTATCGTAGGACTCCCCGCTGCTGTAGGTTGTGGCCAGCGTGGATGAGCACTCCTCCAGGTACCAAGGTTTCTTTCCGCTTTCTGCAGTGCTGCTGATGGAGATGGTGTAGATGCTGTTGGTGTAGCCATCACAGGAGCAGTGGTCTTTGCTCCTTCCGCCATTTCCAGATGCCCAAACAAACACAGAGCCGAGGCCTCTCCGCCCCTGTTCACAAACAGAGAAAGCTAAATGATGGTGTGAAATGGCTCTAAATGAAGAGGTCAGAATCCACTGAGCCGAACTGCATATGTGCAGGTGGCGTGTGTTGCTATCTTAATATGCTGGGCTTAAGTAGCTTTTGGGAGTGGAGTAAGAAGAGTTGGTCTTATAGACTGGAACGGTCAGAAAAGTTACAGGAGCACACATAATGACGATAATAATGGCTAATATTTATGGACCAAGCACAAGTCAAAGAGTTTTACATGAACTGGATTGAATTCTTTCAACGATCCTGTGAGGCTGGCACAATTCCTGTCTCCATTATGCTGTGGAGAAACTGAGGTACAGAAGTTAAGTAATTAAATTAAAATTTTTTTAAAAAAGGAATTTAAGTAATGTTCCTAAGGTCATAATCAGTAAGTGGTAGGGCCAAAATTTGAACCCAGTGAGATATGAGAGTTGGGATATTATTAGTTGTAATTACCATAGTTACGCACTATTGTTTAAAATCTTCACATCTGCCATGAATTGGGTGCTATCATGCACCCTCGTTTACATCTGAGGAACATGAGCTATATACAGAGGTTATGCCTCCATGCTCAATCACACTGTTGGTGAGTGTCAGAAGCAAGTACTAACAGTACTTCTTTCTATAGAACTGACCTTCCCATGAGTGGTGTGGGCACTAATTACTGAGGGATGTTAATGGATGCTACCATAAATAAAAGGATTTCAAGATCACATATGTTTGGGAATCCCTGAGTTAAACAAAATTAAGTGAGCCTCTTTATTACAAAACTTCTAAGCACCTTTAATAAATGAATGCTTACTGTAAAATTCTAAAAGCAGGATACAGTCTAATGTAATTTTTCCAAACATATTTGACCATAGATCTATTAACATTTTCTTAGAATGCTAGAAGACAGTGTCACATTCTTCATACCAAAGCTTGGTAGCTAAAAATAACTAAAAGAATTTCTTGGTTAGGCATGGTGGCTCATGCCTGTAATCCTAGCATTTTGGGAGGCAGAGATGAGCAGATCACCTGACAGGAATTCAAGACCAGCCTGTCCAACATGAAAAACTCCGTCTCTACTAAAAATACAAAAATTAGCCAGGTGTGGTGGTGCATGCCTGTAATCTTAGCTACTCGGGAGGCTGAGGCAGGAGAACTGCTTGAACCTGAGAGGTGGAGGGTGTAGGTTGCAGTGAGCCAAGGTCATACCACTGCACTCTAGCCTGGACGACAGAGTGAGACTCTGTCTAAAAAAAAAAAGACTTTCTTAAAGTTCTCAATAATTAAGGAATAGAAGAAAAGTAGAATATAGACATACACAGTGAAGTGACTATAAGCTGATGTCTTCGGGGAAAAACAGAATTAAGCCAAAATGGAGAGTATTTCTGGGAATAGCAACAGCTGAATCTCTAAGAAATTGTGCCATTTTAAAGCTAGAAGGCAAACTGGAGGACATTGAGGCCAAATCCATCATTTTCTATTAGGAAGTGAGAACCCAAGTCAAAAAGCTAGTGATGGCAGAGACTTTCTTCCTTCCAGGCCCTAGTTTTCTGGTCCCCAGGTGGAAGGAAAATTTGAGGGATGCTTTCTTAGAATTTCTGGAAAAAGAGCCAAAAAAAAAAGAGACAACAAAGTCTAGAATATCTGTGATAAACTCTTCCTGACCTTGACTCTTCAAGGAATGGAATATTTATGACATGATTTGACAGACCTGATCATACATTTCTTTTTGTACTTGAACTTGGAAAAAATGCTTTATGATTACCCAGGAATTGGAAATATTCATGAAGAGAGAGGGGGATAAACTTTCAGTCGTTATTGCTGCTCGACAGCTGGGCCTGGTTTACCATCCCTTAACATTTCATCAAAATATTCATGAAATAGAGAGAAAGGTGCAGTAATCACCAAGCCATCACAAACTAAGAATCTTGTTCAATGCTATGATAATCTCTAGGAGGGATTATGCATCACTATGGTGAGGTTGGTCAGACTGAGAAACTATGTCTAGACCTCAGAGACAGAACAACATACCAGAGGGAAAGAAAGAATGTTCCAAGTCATCATCAATATGTTCCCTCTCTATCAGACACAGAGGGGCTGTGTTACAGGCAAAAATCAGGGTCCCACTGGGCCTCACCTGACAGGTCAATAGAATATATGGGATTGTGCAAAAACCCACCTGATTTAAACAGCGCCATAACAGATGATAGACAAAGAGTCACAACGCAACTAAAAGGCATATATGGTACAAGCATGTGTATGTGTGTGTGTGTGTGTATATTTGTAAAATTATGACAGTGTGCCCATGAATAAAATTCAATTAAACTATCTTTAAAAAGTAACTTGATTTTAAAGAATATTTAATAAGAAAATATTTAGGAAGCATTTTTGTGATAATGTAGTTATAAACGTAGGATACAAAATGATATAGCATAGTCTCAGTTTAGGAAAAAATGTGTGTAGACTGGGTGCAGTGGCCAACGCCTATAATCCTAGTGCTTTGGGAGGTCAAGGCAGGAGGATCATCTGAGGCCAGGAGTTAGAGACCAGCCTGGGCAACAGGGTAAGACCACATATTTACAAAAAATTAAAAAGAAATATCCAAGTGGTGGTGTATGCGTCTAGTCTCAGCTATTTCAGGGGCTGAGGTGGAAGGATTGCTTGGAGCCAGGAGTTCGAGGCTGCAGTGAGCTATGATTGCTCTGCTGCACTCCAGGCTGAGTGACAGAGCAAGACCCTGTATCTTTAAAAAAAAAAAAAAAACAAAGGGAAAGACAAAAAAGTGTGTGTGTACAGCAGTCTATATGCATAAATTTAGAGGCATACCATAACGTGAAAATGTAATTGAAGTTATCCTGTATTGTAAGATCAGAGAAGCTTTTTATTTTTTTTTTATGTCAATCTTCTATGGCCATGTCTTACTTTAATAAAAAGAAACAAGAACTTTAATTGCTCTACTAAGAGGGAAAACACAGAGTCAATTCTTAAGAGATAACTTTTTCATGTTATGGCCAAAAGGGTTTTTACCCATAGAAGGTCCACTGTGTACTAAAAACAACAGAGGCTAACATTTCTAAAAAACCTTCTATGCGCCAAGCGCTGTACAAACATTACTCTGCACGATCCAAGTTTATATTATCATCATTTTACAGATGAGCAAACTGGTTCTCAGAACTGCTCACTAACGGGCTGGGTGCAGTGGCTCATGCCTGTAATCCCAGCACTTAGAGACAAGCCTGGGAAACATAGCGAGACCTTGTCTCTAAGAAAAAAAATAAAAAATTAGCCAGGCACGGTGGCATGCGCCTATATTCCTGGCTTCTAGGGAGGCTGGGGTGAGAGGATCACTTGAGCCCAAGAGGTCGAGGCTGCAGTTAGTTATGGTCACACCACTGCACTCCAGCCTAGGCAACAGGGCTCAGAGACAGACTGTCTCTAAACCAAAAAAAAAAAAAAAAAAAAAATGCCAGACCTTGAAAACTGACTGGAGCCACAGCCTGAGCTATTAATCCTTACAACAGTCTTCTTTTGGGCAAAAAGAGGGCTACTGGTTATTGTACCCTTTCTGGCCAAATCTCCCATGACTTCATTGCAGCTTGGCCTTAGAATGTAAGAGCAGACCAGCACTCAAGTCCTTTCTCGACTTGGCAGTAGTATTAGAACTGATAAAGAATAGATGTATGCCTTGCCCCCAAGAGGTAGGATGTAGTTTCCAACCCCCAAGTTCCCTGAAATCCCACCCTGAGGGGGGACTCCCTCAGAAGTGTGAACACAGGTCATTCTGTTCTGGCAGCACTCACGGAAGACACCAATAAGGAGGGGCAATGGCATTGCTGAGGGGTGCTTTGGGGATCTACTGGGTTGAGAGAGTCCTGAGTTGAGAGGACAGTAGGTTGCTGCTGCCCTGAAAATGTCCCTTCCAGACAGAGGTGATGTCCTTGTTTTGAACAAATAATTTGAGGGAATTGTTTTATAACTGAGCATGGTGAAGGAAAACCTCAAAGGACCGTGTGGGGTCAATAACCACTTCTAGGCCTGAAGGGGCACAGAGAGAGGGGAGT